TAATTCTGTATTGCCGTTAGCTAGCCACTTTTCTGATTTCAAAATTCTATTCATTTCTTAAGGATATTGTTGATAATAAATTCTTTATTTTTTTCTGTGTCCCTTAATATCACTATCCTGTTAATCTTTTGTAATATTCTTTTAACGAAAAGCCAGGTTGAAATGACAATCACAAATGTCATCAGTACATTTAATAAACTGTCATGATATCAAAACAATATCAAAATGAGTTGACACTATCAGTCCTCAATGGCTAACTTTAGTTTTTCATTACCATCCTTTTAGACACCCTGTTACAGTTTTGCCCATATGTCTAGCATCCACTTATAGAAATATTTACTTAGGTTACAGCAGTGGTATATTAATTTCTTACAAATTAGAGCAGTTGAAAAGGTCCTGCATAATTACAGGAAAGACCCTAGTGTGAGGGTCCATCATGGATGCCGCCCGCAGTTCATTGGGTGCAGAGCCACAGAACTGCCACGTCTTCGCCCCGCCCCCTCCAAAACTCGAGATGAGTTATAACCGGACTGCAAACTCTTCTATAAGTTCACAGATAACAGATGCCAAAGGAAAAGATATGACAATCTTTGTAGCAGGACAAATGAGACTCCATCGTTTTTATTAAACACTGAATACTCTACTCACTGCATCAGTCAATCAATGAAACACGCGCAGAGAAACAACATTTTTGCAACATTAGGCTATTTCTCAAAATATAATGCTGCAAATAATGTAAAGTTCGTTTGCCTTATCCAAATTCACTTTAGACCACATACATATTCTTCATAACAACAAAAATAAAAACTTGAAAAGTTTATCATAGGCTATATGAAAAATTAGATCCTAAGTCTGACATCTCGCTTAATGAGCTTGAAACTTATTTTTTCCTAAAGATTGACTCATTGAACACTCAGATGTATCATTGTGACTATATTATTGTGTACAGTAAAGAATGAGTGCAAGATAAACTCCTGCACGTGCACCACATTTTCTCAACCAAAAGGGTTTCTCAACTCTTTCAGGTTTCAGAGTTTTTAATATCAAAGGAAGGAATTATTTTTGTATTATTGGTATGATGTATCACATTACATTTGCTCTACCGATAAAAAGGTCATTGCAATAATAAATATTTTAACAATGAACCAAAATTAAACAAGCTAAACTTCCTGAGAGAGGTTGTAAAGTAAATATCCTCGTACCTTTCAGGCCGTCGCCGCGCAGAGAATCAGTGAATCGATCCAGATGTCGCTCTGGTGCCGCTAATGAGGAGCTCAGCATGGATGGAGAACTCTTCTGTGTTTACGATGCCTCTGGTGTGAAGCTGGGCTTTATCCGAGAGGTTGCACCGCTCTTCTCCTCGCAATCTGGTGGCGGGGGGTTCCGCTGCGCTACGTGCAGAGTGTCACACACTCTCCCAAACTCATGGAACCAGGTGGAATTTCGAACTGCGCATGCGCATAGTACAGTTCCTACATCTCATTCCATTGGGCTCATCCTTATGATGTGGTACTTGATACATCATACAGCTGTGTGAATTTGTTCTACAGTGTTTGCATACATATTTAGCAGTTTATACTCACACTGTATGTAATAAAAACATCCAACATATATATATATATTTTTTTTTTTTGTATAATCCATTAGGCATCCTTCATTAAAGAAAAAGTTCACCCAAAAACAATATTATGGATAGAGAACTCAGCTTGTGGATTACTTACATTACTTGTGAATTGTGTTTTTATTTCTCATTCTGACAGCACCTATTCACTGCAGAGGATCAAGTAAGCATGTGATGCGATGCTTTTTCCAAATCTGTTTTGATGAAGAAATAAACTCATCTACATCTTGGATGGCCTAAAGGTGAGTACATTTTCAGAAAATTGCCATTTGTGGGTAAACTGTTAAACCATGCCTTAAAAACCATGCCATAATGTGTCAATCAAGGTTGAATTGAATGTTATCTTGTGTATTTCGTAGCTGTTGCATAATGAGTATGCACTGAAAAGAGAAGTCTCTGTTGTTGTTGTTTTCTTCCTGGTGGATTTTTTTTTTCTGTGCAAAAAAGAAGTGGAAGTTTCTTTCTCTCTTTCTTTTCTAACACTCTGCACTCTAACACTCAAAATGTTCTCTGTTGCTTCCTCTCATTTTGATTTATAACTATATATTATAAGTATACTTATAATATATAGTTATAAATCAAAATGAGACCTTAAATGAACCTTATATATAAGTTACTCCTGCTGGTTTCAATTCTGACTGCAACCTTTGCTTTCCAAATTAACACTGAGCTATAAAAGAGGCAAACGTTTGTCACATAGCTTGAAGAATGTTTGTATGTTTGTGAAACCATAGCACAATAGAGACACAGTGGCACGCATTTGTGTTATAAAGACAGTTTATTGCACTCTGTGCATAACTGATGTAAAAATATTGAGCATTTCAAAATAATTTAAAGAAAATATGCTCATTTACAAAATAAAAATATTTTTTTTAGCATGTTTTAACATGTTTTAGCACAATCCTTTGAGAGTTGTCTTCAATGTTTTTTATTAGTATTTAAAAAAAAATCAATTATGATTTCTTGTAATACTCCTGTCATTCCAACACTAGGCAAACATCTGACTCTACTACTAAAATGAATTTGGCACATTCCTGTAAGACCAAACTTTTTCTTCTTCCCAGTCCTCAGTGTAAATCATTAAGGGCAGAAAAAGGTCAAACACTTCAGTCTGCAGCTGTGTATGTTCTGTGCCGTTTGTATTTACTCCAGTGATTCAAACTTGTTTTTTTACTGACTTTATTGCCTTTTTTGGTCAATAGATCTCTCTCCTATATTGGAAGAATCTCAAAAACAAAACATTTATATTATTACAAACTAAACCTAAACTAGACACAAATAAATTTTTCACCTTTAATCCTTCAGTCCAACGCACATCCTAAAAGAAAAATAAAATGCAAAGATAAAACTTTTTTTTTTAAATGTTGTAATTACCATTCACTGTTTTGTACCTGTTTAAACAGTAAAATCACATCAAAAACAATGACTTTTCAGATTGTTCCCCCTTCATCCTACCTGAATGTTCATCTTGCTAGTTTTGAGCACATATGAAATATTAGAATGATATTTGTCTTTCTTTGGCTTATGATGTATTAAATGTATTCTCTAATATTTCCTAATACATTCTATTATTCTTTTTTGTGGATAAGGCCATCCACAAACTTCCATTTGTGTTAGATTAATGGATGTTTGTGTTTAAGTCATCATATGACAAACAAAGTTTTTCTTCAGTCTGTCAAATTCTTATTATTAACCAAGATCAACACAACCAACTCTATAAGTCTGTGAAGAGGATTCCTTCATTTCATGTCACTGTATTTTCCTTCAGTATTTCTCAGAGACGGATGTCATCCAGTGGGGTGAGCCGTTGACCAAACAGCAGTTCCTCGTAGTCAGAGAGCTGCCGAAGAAACCCAGCATTCGGGGCAGCGCAAGCTCGTCTTTCCTTCAGCCAACGAAAAGCATGTAGCAAAGACCAACGGCGATGCTCCATCAGGAATCCCAACGTCAGCACCGAGCTACGACTCCGTCCAAGGCTGCAGTGCACCAACACCCGGCCGCCTGGTGCCCCCGGTGCCCCCCGCAAAGCCTCAGCAATGAACCGAGAAGCTTCTGGAAGGGCCTGCCGAAGATCCTGCTGTGCGTCATCACTAAGCCGTAGCCGAAGATAACGTAAAACACTCGGGAAGGCATCTGAGATTTCAGCTGTGGCATTGACCACATGTGTGATGTGGAGGTTTTTGATGATACGGTAGTCATGTGCCTGCGAGGCAGAGCCCTGGTATAGCGCCCCCTCCAGGATTTCAGAGGGATAGATGGTGAGGGAGCGACGCTCTGACTCCAGTAGGACCATGCGAGGGGTGCACAGAAAGGGATAGAGAGAGTGAAAAGCAGAATAGCCCCCCTGGAGGATTACAGGGTCCATTCCCAAAGCACTCAGCTGGAAGAAACAGTGCTGGAGAGTAGGAGAGTCAGCGCGTGCCTCCTGACTGCCAACTAGAGCACAAAGCCACATATACAGCCATATTTATACATTATTATTTTAATATATTTATCATAATATTTGTATAATTTGCATTGTTTTACACAAAGTTATTATTATTATTATTATTATTAAAGTCTAATAAAACTGCCCAATTAACGTAATAATAGTTAAATAATACATTTTATAAATCATAAGGTTATGTTATATATTTATCAATTAAAACAAGAGTATTATTTATAAATATAATTTATCATCTTTTAAAAAATAACCATAACTTGTTGTTTAAATTATTATTATTATGCTCACAAAGTTACTTATATTTAGTAAAATGTCTATCATGTGCACTATCAAAACAAAGTGTTACCTATTAAACTTGTCATTTATTCAACATAATATAATTGTATTTATAAATAATACTTTTTATATTAATTTATAAAGGTATAATGTCACATAACGTAAATAACACATTTAAACATAATAATAATAATATTAATATAGCTAAATAAAACATTTCAATAAATTATGAGGTTATGTTATACGTTAAGTATATTTATCAGTTAATATTAAGGTATTATTATGAATATAATGTATAACCTTTTAAATAATAACAATAACTTTTTTATATGTGACCCTGGACCACAAAACCAGTCATATGTAGCAACTGTTTTGTACCTGTTTAAACAGTAAAATCACATCAAAAACAATGACTTTTCAGATTGTTCCCCCTTCATCCTACCTGAATGTTCATCTTGCTAGTTTTGAGCACATATGAAATATTAGAATGATATTTGTCTTTCTTTGGCTTATGATGTATTAAATGTATTCTCTAATATTTCCTAATACATTCTATTATTCTTTTTTGTGGATAAGGCCATCCACAAACTTCCATTTGTGTTAGATTAATGGATGTTTGTGTTTAAGTCATCATATGACAAACAAAGTTTTTCTTCAGTCTGTCAAATTCTTATTATTAACCAAGATCAACACAACCAACTCTATAAGTCTGTGAAGAGGATTCCTTCATTTCATGTCACTGTATTTTCCTTCAGTATTTCTCAGAGACGGATGTCATCCAGTGGGGTGAGCCGTTGACCAAACAGCAGTTCCTCGTAGTCAGAGAGCTGCCGAAGAAACCCAGCATTCGGGGCAGCGCAAGCTCGTCTTTCCTTCAGCCAACGAAAAGCATGTAGCAAAGACCAACGGCGATGCTCCATCAGGAATCCCAACGTCAGCACCGAGCTACGACTCCGTCCAAGGCTGCAGTGCACCAACACCCGGCCGCCTGGTGCCCCCGGTGCCCCCCGCAAAAGCCTCAGCAATGAACTGAGAAGCTTCTGGAAGGGCCTGCCGAAGATCCTGCTGTGCGTCATCACTAAGCCGTAGCCGAAGATAACGTAAAACACTCGGGAAGGCATCTGAGATTTCAGCTGTGGCATTGACCACATGTGTGATGTGGAGGTTTTTGATGATACGGTAGTCATGTGCCTGCGAGGCAGAGCCCTGGTATAGCGCCCCCTCCAGGATTTCAGAGGGATAGATGGTGAGGGAGCGACGCTCTGACTCCAGTAGGACCATGCGAGGGGTGCACAGAAAGGGATAGAGAGAGTGAAAAGCAGAATAGCCCCCCTGGAGGATTACAGGGTCCATTCCCAAAGCACTCAGCTGGAAGAAACAGTGCTGGAGAGTAGGAGAGTCAGCGCGTGCCTCCTGACTGCCAACTAGAGCACAAAGCCACATATACAGCCATATTTATACATTATTATTTTAATATATTTATCATAATATTTGTATAATTTGCATTGTTTTACACAAAGTTATTATTATTATTATTATTATTAAAGTCTAATAAAACTGCCCAATTAACGTAATAATAGTTAAATAATACATTTTATAAATCATAAGGTTATGTTATATATTTATCAATTAAAACAAGAGTATTATTTATAAATATAATTTATCATCTTTTAAAAAATAACCATAACTTGTTGTTTAAATTATTATTATTATGCTCACAAAGTTACTTATATTTAGTAAAATGTCTATCATGTGCACTATCAAAACAAAGTGTTACCTATTAAACTTGTCATTTATTCAACATAATATAATTGTATTTATAAATAATACTTTTTATATTAATTTATAAAGGTATAATGTCACATAACGTAAATAACACATTTAAACATAATAATAATAATATTAATATAGCTAAATAAAACATTTCAATAAATTATGAGGTTATGTTATACGTTAAGTATATTTATCAGTTAATATTAAGGTATTATTATGAATATAATGTATAACCTTTTAAATAATAACAATAACTTTTTTATATGTGACCCTGGACCACAAAACCAGTCATATGTAGCACAGGTATATTTGTAGCGATATCCAAAAACACATTGTATGGGTCAAAATTATCGATTTTTCTTTTATGCCAAAAATCATTAGGATATTAAGTAAAGATCACATTCCATGAAGATATTTTGTAAATGTCCTACCATAAATATATCAAAACCTAATTTTTGATTAGTAATATGCATTGCTTAGAATTTCATTTGACAAATTTAAAGGTGATTTTCTCAATATTTAGATTTTTTGCAACCTCAGATTCCAGATTTTCAAATAGTTGTATCTCGGCCAAATATCCTATCCTATCCTAACAAACCAAACATCAATGAAAAGCTTATTTATTTGTATAAATCTCAATTAAAAAAAAAAATTGACCCTTATGACTGGTTTTGTGGTCCAAGGTCACATATTATTATCAAACTTATTGGCATTTATTCAACATAATATAAAGTATATTCATTAATAATACATTTATGTTAATTTATAAATGTATAACATCATTTATAAAATGTATGATTTAGCTATATTATTATTATTAATCATTTTAATTAGGTTTTATTTTATTTATATTATAAAAATGTTATACCTGGACTTTGGCCTTCTTCAGCGTATAGCAGTATTATAGAAAACTCCTGCAGCTGAACACAGCTTATCAAACAGCCCAGTTCTGGATGCATCACCGTCACACTGGCACGGGCTGTGACCAGGTGACTCTGCTTATATCTGCACATGTATACACACACACACACACAAGTTAGTTACCATTAAACTTAAAAGCCAGAACCATTCATGATCCTTTCACTGAATGTACATATCTATAATGTATATGTATGTATTTATGTGTATCACTGTTACCTCTCTGCAGAGCGGCAGTCCAGTATCAGTATATAATAGGGATCATGCAGTGAAGGTTGGCCCGCTTCAGCATTCAGGAGGTTGTATACTTGCTGTGGTGTCACATAACCTCTTTCTATATTTGCTTTTTCTGGAAGTGCAGGAATCAGAAGCTCTTTCACACAAAAACACAAGACAACACACACACACAAAGTTATTTTAAGATTTATCACAGACAGTTTCTACAGCAAATCAATGTACAATTAAAAACGTAGGCATTTTATTTCTTTATTTATTTTTAGAAAATAATTTTTATTTATGATATATTATATGAGTCCATGTTTGATATTTCAACCAGTCTTTTATTAAAAAATGTATCTCATTGATCTCACACACACACGCAGTGATTAATTTTGCAGCGTCTTTATTCTTTAGGTATGTTGACCTACCTTCAGTGTTGTTCTGAGAGGATTCAATGACGTTGATTTGAGAAAGTTTGACTGTTCCATTCATCTCCCTACAGGGGGCGCTGTTCTGAACCTGCAGAGAGCCCCGCGAGCCAGTGGAGCGAACCAAACGACATTTATCAGCTCTGCGAGGAGAGGGCGAAGGGGGGAGGGGAGAGAATTCTAGCAATTGATGTGTAAACACTCTATATTCTAGCTAATGTAATCAGCAGTTACACACAGATCCTATCAACCACCAGAGGACAAGTGGTGCACTTTAGAGGCACATCAGGTGAAGTATTGACATTTATTATTTTCACAATTCCTTGTCAACGTCTGCTTTGTTATTTTGTGAACAAATAATACTATCAGAAAGAAAATAATAATAATGTTATCAGATGTACTCACCTGGACACCACAATGCCCATGGTTTTGGATGGGAGTCATTCGGGACCGAAGCTCTCTCTCTCTCTCTCTCTCTCTCTCTCTCTTCTATGGGCCAAAAGGTAAGAGAGAGAATGCAACCATCCTGATACACACACTCAAACCAACGCCATGCAAAATACACACTGCCTACAGCATTCCTCTGCTCCAATACATCCAAAATCTACCAAAAGAACTGGAATGTACGTAGAATTTTACATCCTTGTGGTTGTTAAATCGTTCTCCGCATGTCACTGTGTAAAAAACAACTGTTTTTTTGTTTTTTCCCTTCCATTCTACTCTTTCCCTCCCTCTTTGTCAGGTCCTTATTTTAGTGGGTTGCCGGGGTAATGCGGGACTGTGAAGTGCTCTACATGAGCAGGGGTGAGCTGGCCATGACAGGTCAGAGTGTCACACGAAGCCACTTCTGAATGAAAGTCAAATAACAAAATGCATATATATTTTTTATATAATACAAATAGTTTATTTATCATGCACCCTAATCAAACCCAACCTGTATACTGCTATTTTTTATGGGGAAAATATTCTTTAATACACTACTGGAATACACTATTGGAATAATTATGATTTTTAGTAATATTTAAAATTTTTAAGTATATTTTTTTATAATTATGAAGTTTTCATCCCCAAGGCTGCATTTATTTGATCAAAAATGTAGTGAAAACAGTAAAATTGTAGAATATTATAACAATTTGTTTTCTATTTTAATATATTTTAAAATATTAATTAAAAGATAAAATGCAATTCCTGTGATGGCAAAGCTGAATTTAAGCAGCAGAAAACCGTTTCAACATTGATTATAATGAGCACCATTATTAATATTTAAACACTAATATTAATTGATAATAATTGAGCACTAAATCATAAATGACATTTTTAATATAGTGAACAGTTCCTTTTAAATTGTAATAATATTTTACTGTTTTTTTATCAAATAAATGTAGCCTTGGTGAGCATTAGATGTTTCTTTACAAAAACATTACAATTCTTAATTATCCCAAACTTCTAATGGGTAGTGTATATGCTAGCTAAAAAACACACACATACAGCCCAAATAGAATGAAAAAAGGGGGTTTTCTAGAATATTTGGAATGACATAAGGGTAAATAATGACTTTAGGGGGGAACGTCCTTTCATTTATTGACCCACCGTCACTGCGCCATTCCACAGTACTATGATGTCACCATATCGGTATGTTCTTACTGATATTTGACCTGATTAATAAGTGCTGGGTTGCCATGGTGATATTGCATTGACTGTCTGTTCTATGATTCTCACCCACCTGTCATGGATATAATGTGCTTGTTTGCCCTCAGTACATTTCTCCATTTATTCTGTGGATCCAGCTGCTAGCCACAAAAATACTCTCATGTGTGCACACACATATTCAGACAGAAATGTTTGTCTTATTATTAGTAATTAATCATGGGCCTAATGGATGTTTTATTTACACTGTCTATGTTGTAATGTATTAATTTTATCTAATTGGAAGCCATATTCACTTTCAAGCATAACATAAAATGATCCCTATACTTGTAATTACCCAAAACAGACCGTAACAGCGTCCTGTGAATGATGGTTAAGGTGAGTCACTCAAGTTTAATCACTCTTAGTATGAAGGTAGGACAGCACATCCAAATTAAATTGGCCACTTTCTGTCTGCTGAGATGCCTTTATCGACCTTAATAAAAATCTCCTTTATACACAAATGCTGTCTGTGTAGTCATGTCTCAGTTTTGGACAATTTATACAGTGAATACATAGTCGAAATGAATGGTGCAGTTTTGTCATAATGTGTACTAGAACAAATTGTGTTGAATATATGGTTTGTATACATTCATTTTAATTATTAATTACATTACTATATATGAACTAATTGCTTTTATGTACATAGCTGACCTTTAAAATGTCATATCCTTATTTTTTTCTATACATTTGTGCATTGTGTAGTTGGCATTACAAATGTTTGGTTATCAAAGCAATAAAGTTTATAGGTGGGGGGAGGGTGATTGTCATATACAGATGGCATCAGATGGAACATTTTTGGCTGACAAATATGCCCTTCTTCTGTCTGTTTTGTAAGGATACCGCTTCATTATATATCCAATAAAGAAACGTGAAGTTAATCATCTTAAGTAAATAACAGCACGAGTAAAACTATTAAAATTGGAGGTTCCACAGTATTTTGATGTAGCCTGTATTCTACTACTTCTCAATATATTTTACTACGCCTAAAACGCTTAATGTGTGTGTGGTGCACAACAACATAAATGCGTCGTCGGTAAGAAAATATTTACCGAGCAACGTGATGAGCTTTCATGCTGCAAGGTGACGTATTCAATTATTAACTCCGCTTGTCCTCTGCCCTGAGTCTGTCTCAGGTACAGATATATGCTCTCAAAGCACTCAAACGAGAGGTAACGGAAGGACTAAATCCAGGACAAACAGATTTGAATGGCCCCAGACAAACGGGTGAAAAAAAACCTCTCGTCGACGGAAGTTAGTTCAAATAATTCTTATTTTTTTCCTCTCAGAGTGAGATAAGATCAAAGTCCACTTCTGCTTGGTCTTGGCCAAGAGATGTGAGTTGGTCTATATTATCGTTATTTTTATTTTCTGTATGTTGTACTGTATGTTTTATTATTTATTTTGGTATTTTTTAATTTATTTAGATGCATTTAATTAAATTATCAAATGGGCTTACTTTTTTAGGAGGCTAATGTTATTATAATCTGAAAATTAAAATGTTAAATTCTATTATTCTATTTTTCATGTTTTCTGTAAAAAGTTAAAACGTTTACAAAAATGTTGGACTGTGTTTTACGTACAATACTAATTTGAATTACAGGACAAAAGATATATGGCAACGTTTTTTGTGTTAATGGTTGAAATGAAGATTACATTGGGCAAAAATAATGGTCAGTGTATTCCATGATAGCCTATATGCTGCTGTTGATTTATTTATAACAGTTTTCTAAAATCTATATTAGAAGACTTTTGTTTCTAATAGTGATGGTGAAATTGTTTTGGATTTTTTTGATATTTTGTGTTTGTGCAGGTAGTTTTACGTCCGTCCTCCAAACCCTGATGCAGTAAAGGGGTCAAAATTAATAATAATATTCCACTCCACCGGTCCTGGGGTGGGTGGACCGCTAATATGGACCCCTGGCAAAATCTGGTGTCCAGATGGTAAGAACAAATTTATTTGTGACTGAAAGCTTTAATGAGCACAAAGCCTGGTTAAAATTTGTGAATGTGAATACTTGTTTGTTAATGTGCTGTGCATAGTAGCCATAAAATATCTCTCTATCATCAATGCTTGTGAGATTATACCATACTGCTTCAGTATCTTTAATGTGATATTCTTAGATTTAGGGGTAAAAATGTCTATTAAGGCTTAATCAATTTACTGTCTGTCCATGTGTGTTTCAGTTCGGCATGGTGGCAGATGCATACGCCACATGCTCTGAGAGCTTGTGTGTATGAAGTGTGTAAACCTCTGGTGCCACTTCTGCTGTGCATCGCGGCCCTGGTGGCTGTGATTGTGTATGCTCTGGCAGATAATCTACACAGTTTTGTAAGCAGGATCTTCATTCCCCAGTATCACTATCCTTATGTGGTGCCACTTGCATTCATACAGGTACTTTGCCCACACAGCTTCATCTTTATCAGTTATTTATCAGTTATGATCTTGAACATGCAGATTTGAAAGTTGCCTTACATAACTAATGATCACTAATCCCCTTCGGGGTCAGTGCAGAAAGCTCTGGCCAGTTTAAAATTTAAAAAATATTCATCTTTTAAAATGAAAAATAATTAATACAATTATTATTAATTAAAGTTAAAAAGGGTTATTATAGTTAACTAAAACCAATAAAACTGGAATAAATAAAGATTTTTTTTTATTTCAGCTAGTTGCCTAGAAAAGATGTATCATTTTAATTTAAAACTTGATATACTAAAATAACTATAACTGAAACTGGAAAAAAAATGATATAGATAGACATATTAACAATACTAAACATGACAAAAACACAACAACATTTCTGAAACTTTGACAATTAAAATGAAAATATTATGATTCAGAATATTAATAAAAAATTATGATGTCCAAATGATGCTATAAATAGAATCTCAATAAAATAAAGTTTCAAAGCATCTGATTGAATTGAATTGAAAAGATTAGATTTCTTTCAGCCAAGCTGTTATTCAGTAGAAAACTTTCCATTCAAACATGAGATGTCAAGGTGTTTTATGCCAGGATTATGTCAAGTGGACCATTATTTAAAGTCCTACACAAGTAATTTGCATATAAACCATATCATCATCAGCGTTACATATCTCTCAGTGTGTACATAGATTATTTGTAGGGTGTAAAGCACAAGACTGGGCAAATCTCTGATGAATCATTAGGTGTGTTACATGTGATCATTTGACTAGTGCTTTAAACTGGTGGAGTCCTTTTACTGTTTGTGTTTGAATGTTATGGCTGGGCTATATGTTTAAAATGAAGACGGGATGTCAGCAGCTGACAAATGGAAGATTTTAGATTAAAATGTATATCTACAGTGGGGTCAAAGTCTGAGAATACTAGTAAAACTATCAGTTTAATAAAAGTACAGAACGTCTTAGCATTTAGGTCATCCCTCTTTTGCTTTAATTACAGTAGCATGTGAGCTGCATGAGCTCCACAAGCATAATTTGACATGATCCAAAGAGCATCTTGAGCTTGTGACCATCTCTACAAAGAGTCACATGATCAGTGTCACAAATTGTTTCACTATTGACCTAGAAACAGCACAGAATCTTACTCATTTTGCATTATAAAGATTCATCATTTCAAAATCTTAATACTTTATTTTCAATCCCAGATTTTCAATCCAATCTCAGATGTTTGGATCCTGCTCTACTGTATATATAAGAGAAAATGTAGATTTATTATGCTGTGATTGTTTAACAGTTTTTAAAAATTCAAACTTTTTTGCAGTTCACTTGCACAGTTCAGTAGGATTGCAGTGTGACAAATATTCAGTGTATTAAATGTGGTCTTAAAACTGCATGTATAATAATTCTAAAAATGGTCAAATGTTGTTTAAAGTAGTGTGATACAGCCGTTACTGCTTAAATGTCATGTTATCATTTGTTATGTTTATCTATGCTCTGAAAGTGGTTTTCTTAGGTACATAATGAAAAGTCAGCGGTATATGACTCTGGGCATTTATGGCACTGTTTATCACGTTTTAATCTCCAGTGTGTTTTAGGCTTGTTAAACTTCCTCTGGCTTTTGCTTCCTTCCCTTCAGGTGTTTCTAAATCTCCTGGCACTGCTAGCTTTGCACGGCGTGGGTCTGATCCACCTGAAGCCTTTTTCACTGAGGCTGGGCGAGCGTTTGTTTGTGCCGGCGGTCTGTGGGAGCATCCAGTGCATTCTGGCCATATGGGCTGAAGCCTGTTCCCACTCTGGCCTGTACCCGCTAATCGCCCGCTTCCTCCCAATGGTCAGTCTGAGCTTGGGTCACCTGTTTGCACTGAGTATGCCAGGCTCCATCCATGTCTCCTCCCTTTTGACTGTGCTCACTGTCGCCTCGGTTACCGTCACAGGTACACTGTTCACTTTTAATTAGATGTGTTACTTACCATTCTTTGCAACAGTCGGGTTCCAGAAGTAAAAATGTCATTCATTTTCTCCATGGGGAATTTTTTTTAATCATAGCATATAAACCTTTAAAGGCTGAGCTGTTGTGAGCTCCTAAGTTGTTATCCAGCTTACGTTCTCAGAAATTTGGCTGATGTTTTTGCAAGGTTCTCTCAAAGTAATGAACATTATTTCAGTATCATTAATAGAAGGTTTGTTAAAAGTTGTCTGGTCTTTAAGAATATTCTCAATATGTCAGCACAAAAACATTATACAACATTCATGAATCATAGTTTCTGAAATGATTTAGTTAAATGTTAATCTAACATTTTTTAAATGTTACTACTCATTTCAGTACGTTCAGAGAACACTCAAAAGTAACGTTCCAATAATGTTTGCAAAATTATCAAAATTAATATTTCCTTAACATTCATAAAACATTTATAAAACTCGACATTCTGAAGATTCAAAGAACATAATTGTAGTTAAACAGCTGAATTCATGATGAACTACATTACCCATGATGCAGTGCAGAAAATTCCACCAATCAGAGCTGCGGCCAGAAAATTTCATCCAATGAGCTTGCTATGAATGCCCTTTTTTATGAAGCAACACAAATGATATAATCGTTTCGGTCTCCCTACAGCCGAAACAACAGTACAAACACTGTAAATAAATGGTTTTATATTTCACCATTCTTTTAAAGGGGTCATATGATGTTGCTAAAAATAACATTATTTTGTGTATTTGGTGTAATGAAATGTGTTTATGCGGTTTAAGTTTCAAAAAACACATTATTTTCCACATACTGTACATTATTGTTTCTCCTCTATGCCCCGCCTTTCTGAAACGCGTAGATTTTTACAAAGCTCATCGGTCTGAAAAGCGA